TACGCCCTTGGGAGGGGGTTGCAGAGGGGGGGAAGTGGGAGGTGGAGCGGGGGGGTTCCAATAACTTCCTCCACCACCACCACCAGCAGCAGTTATAGATTTCTTATTCCTTGCTTTCCTTTTGGTATTCACGAGTGAGAGACTGGTTGGTCTGGCTTGAGCGAGGCGGTACCCACGAGTCAGACCGGCGCAGGGGGACTTACGAGGGGTCCTTCACTATAAATTGTAGCGTACACCGACTTTTCTGTTTTTCTTTATTTTTTGTGATTTTCACTTGATTTTTTGTGATTTTTTGTAATTTTTAATGATTTTTTTCTGACTCTTCAATAATTTTGAATGATTTTTTTGGTGACTTTTTCATGATTTTTTATGATTTTTTTTTGTGATTTTTTCTAAGGGTGTACACTGATTTTTTTGAGTAAAGGACCCGTCGGGGACTTCCCGCCGCTCATCGCGACAGATTCCTTTTCTTCTTCTTCTTTCACTTACTTCCGGTACACACACACAAACACACAAACTCACACACACATTGTGTTTACACTCGCCCTTCCGGTTTCCGGTAGTCAGGAAGTGAGCGCAATCCCTCAAAATGCAGGACAGGGAAGCAAGGGGACCAGATAGAGGGGGGGGAGGGGGAGAGAGGGAGAGGGAGAGGTAGAGAGAGGGAGAGAGAGAGAGAGAGAGAGAGGGGGGGGGGGGGGGGGGGAGGGGGGGGGGGGGGGGGGGGGCGAAGGGAGAGAGCGGGCGGTGGCAAAAGAAATTGAATCGCATGCCACCTTGGAAATGATTGGAGAGCCGCCGGTTCGCGAGAAGAGAGAGAGCTGGAAGAGTCAGCACGCCATCCGCCCGGGGAGAGCGGAGAGAACACGGCCTGTTGCCGACTTAAGCCGCTCTCGTATGCGAAGGGCGGACTCGAGAAAAGAGGGGCTATAATGCTTTACTTACAAAACCATGAGCTGATAAATTTAAATGAAAACATGGAGTTTCGGAATATTGGATAGTAACATGATGTAAGACTACCTCGCACACAGAACGTGGAAAAAAGTAAGCTATCCGAAGTCTTTTTTTTTTTTGCTTCTGTCCGGTAAACCTGTGCTTTTAACGTTTATTCCGAAAAAAAGGACTCTCAGCACTCTAGGGACCTATTTTCCTATTTTACTTTTTTTTACATGGGCCTCCTGCTGCCCTTCCTCACTCCGAGCTTTAAAGAGTTGGCGACCCTCGCCGTTTTCCCTTGTTAAATATTGAAAGCTGGGAGCGGCCCAGGGGAGTGACAGGGAGAACAGGGGAAATGAGAGAGAGGAAGGGAGAGAGCGAGAGAGAGAGAGAGAGAGAGAGAGAAGGGGAGGGGTGACGGTGATTCCACCGGGTGGGCTTGAAGAGATGTTAAAAGCAAGATGAAGGGGTGACGGGGGTGGACGAGGATGGGGCACAGGTGGGACCGAAAGGGGGAAGGAAGCGGAAGGGTGGGGAAGGCGGATTGAGATAGGGGTGATCACGATGCCGCCGCCCGTAACGACCCGACGGCCTCTCGAACGCCTTTTATTGGCAGTGACGTCATCCTCCCGGGAGCTGTGCGTCCGGCAGGCCTGCCAACACAGCAGCCGAGAGAGAGGGGAGGGGGAGGGGAGAGAGAGGGAGAGAAAGAGAGATGGAGGGGAGGGATCTGCGTGAGTACAGCAGACTCCAGTGCAGCAGCGTCATACGGTGCCGGCCACAGGAGAGGCCACGGGCCAGGCCCGGGCGGTGCTTTGGGCAAAGGTGAGTTTCGGGTTAGGGGCGAGCGACATTGTGCGTATAATAATACATAACACTGGGCGGGCAGTGAAATATGTATGCACACCACGACCCCTCTCCTCCCTACCCCGCCTCCTCTCCCTTCTGCCCCTCGCCGTCCATCTGCCCCTCCCCATCCCCTTCCCACCCAGTAGGGCGAGCTAAGAGTGGGTAACGCTCGCGGCAGACCCGAGAGCTTCGGGGGGCAGGCAGGGCCTGGGTGCGGTGGACCCCCTCTCCCCCTCCTCCCATTTTCTCCTTTTCTCCAGCGAACATTAATTTCTGTGCAGGCACAGACTTCTGCTGGTAATTTTGTGTGTCGGTTTTGAAAACTTTATAGAATCTTTCCCAAAGCCTCATAAAAATTAGCGAAACATCTTCGGAAATATCTTCGGAAACAATAGCAACAAATAACAAAAACTTTAGAAAGTAACCGATTTTACGTGGCAGATGTCTTACACTTTGGAGGGTAAATATAACCCGAACGGAGGCAGGGGAGAGGGGAGGGGAAGGGGGGAAGTATTACATTTCCCTCCCCCCTATAGACCCGCACCCCGAGCGGATGTCCTCATACCCAGACTCAGGCGAGATATTATTCTTATTCTTTTCCCGGTTTTTCTTCTCCCACGCCCGCGTCTCCGTACTTTTTTTCTTCTTCTCTTTTTTTTCCTTTTTTCGCCTTTTATATGCAAGGCAATTATAGGTGTTGGAAGCCAACCACTTTTGTAATGGCGAGCAGTCTGTTCCCCGCGTGCCTGCGGCAGACACAGAGTGGGTAACAGAGAGAGAGGGAGGGAGGGAGAGAGGGAGGGAGAGAGAGCGGGGGAGAGAGGTGAGTTTATACGGAAAGACTGCATGAAAATGTTCCGGCAGCCTCCAGCCGCTTTAATATCCAGGTGCGGCTGCAGCTGCAGCGGGTGCAGCAGGTGCACTGAGTGCAAGGCGGCGGTACGGAACGAAATGCACCCCGGCGCAAATGGGGAGGGCGATGGTGGAGGCACAGAATGAGAGAGAGAGAGAGAGAGAGAGAGAGAGAGAGAGAGAGAGAGAGAGAGAGCTAGTAAAGGGCTGTAAAACAGTGGAAGTGAGAAAAATACGAGAGGGAGCGCCAGGAAGGAAAACGAGCGCAGGGGGGAGGGTTAGTGAGTATCACAAAAGTGGTAAAATACTGTCGTCCTTTTGCAGCAGCGCAGCGTACCAACAAAGTAAGAGGCGCACAATGTCGGGCTGACGTGACTGGCTGGACCCCCGCGGGGCCGGGCCGGGGCGACGCTTTGAATACATTAGCTTGTGTCGGGCTGCGACAATGGCTTTCCAATTCCCAGTCTCTCGCTTTCGTTGTCGGGCGATATGTTTTCAATGAATGAGAGAGGGAGAGAGAGAGGGAGAGAGAGAGAGGGAGAGAGAGGAAGAGAGAGAGAG